CTTATATATATAGGTTATATTTTAATATTTATGTTAATGATAGATATTTGATAACTAACCTCTATAACTTATATAGGACCATGTATGTGAGGTTCTTTTAATTTTGTGTTTTTAAATATATTTTTTTTCCTTCATAATACCTTAAAACTTATATATATAGGTTATATTTTAATATTTATGTTAATGATAGATATTTGATAACTAACCTCTATAACTTATATAGGACCATGTATGTGAGGTTCTTTTAATTTTGTGTTTTTAAATATATTTTTTTTCCTTCATAATACCTTAAAATCAATCTGTCACCAACCGGCCATTCATATATATCATGAATTGCTGGATATATAATTTGTAATGGATGCAATGAGAATATCCTCTTAAAGGTTGTCTATTTCATGATTTGTTAATATCATTTTCTTTTCTCTTGTTAGTCTGATCCATGATAAAAGAAATAAAAAAAATCAATTCTCAAATTCTCCCAGAGAAAAAAAGAAAGAAATTCCGTTGATGATCACTGCCTCATGCATCTTAGACTTCAGCTCCTATTCTAGATTCTTCATTGTTTTTGCTTTATCAGTTCCGACATCTATTTTTCTTTAGGATACCTTCAGCATGAATCCATTGGAGGAGATTCTTTTTTTGAAAGTAATTTCTTCTGCATTACTTTTTATCGAGGGAATTTAATTACATTGGCACATAACAGCATCTCTTCTCAAATCCACTGGGGTCCTATTTCTCTTTCCATTTTTGTTTGAGCCACAAAGACCATCTCATTTTCATTTTTTTTTCATACTTAATTACTAGTTCTTCATTCATATTGAACTCCATTCTTAATTACAAGTAATAAACTTAATAATGCATTAATTTCCACTCACACAACATGGGGATCCCAGCTCTGTGTTATCTGATCCTCTCTATCCTCAAAATACCACCTTAGTCTTTTTATTTGGTTTTGGTCCCTCATTTAAGTTTTACTTTTAGCACTCCCTCCCTCAAAGTACCAAGTTAGTTCTGCTTTCCCCCCCCCCCCCCCCCCACACACACACACACATTTTTTATTTTCTCTTCTCTTCTCTTCCATTCGCTTCTTCTTCCAGTAGTAAAACTAAATTATTTGTAAAAGTTGGCATGCATGAGCAGTAGTTAGTTAGTTATTCTTGACAGAGTCAGAGATGTGCTAAGGAATTTGCAGACAAAGGGACAAAAGAGTCAGCAGATAGAAGTTCTATATCAATATCCCAACCCCCCACCTTTATTTCTAGGGCAGGCCTGATCCAAGGAAGAAACTCAATGTCTCCTCTCTTCTTTCATTCCTTTTGTCTCTCCCCCACTTTGAAATTCAACAGCACATGAGCGCATGCTCTTTCCTCCTATCCAACGTCAGCTACTTTGTCCCATGCTCATGGGGGACCTCTAATTTTTGCAAGCCCTAGCTCACCAATTCTTCTTTCTGTCCTTTTTTTATTTTTTATTTTTCTTTGTCTTCCATTAATTCTTTTTCCTAATATCTTCAAGTTAGTTGCATTAAGCTAGCTTTACTGCTAGCTAGTCATGTATATATGCAAAGAGGAAGGGAAGCAATGGTACATACAATGTGCATTTACATTGGATTAGTTGAGAGTGGGAAGCAATAGGCCAGTTGCTTTATCATTAGTATGGTTTATTTCTGATGGTTTTAATGCAACTATATATATGGATCTCCTTATGCGATTTTTGGTGTGTTTGAAAGCTTGCTTTTCTACTTTCTGGTTTATGTAACGGGTGCTGGTACATTTTCAGAGAGAGATCTAAAAACTTTGATCTGTCTTTTCGGAGGGGGATGGGGATATGGATGACTATGTACAGCCATTTTTGGTAACGGTAGCAGGCTGAAGTTCTTCCTTGTGGGGGGCATCATTCTTTTAATTTATCTCCAAAAAAATACATTGAATTAGTTGTAGGCACCTTAGTAGATTTTGGATTTTCAAGCACTTTCATCTTGCTTGAAAAATACTCAAGTTAACCAAGTTTATGAAAGCTTAAAATGAATTTAAATGAATTAATTGGTCAAAAATACACAAGTAAAACTAAACATTAATTTGGGTGATTTATTGTTCTTTTTTGCGTCGATCAATTAGGAGGTTCATATGTTTTTGACCAATAGCATGGATAGAACTTTTGTTAAATGATCCTTCATGATTGAAAGACTTAGATCATTTTCACTACAAATAGGCAGTGTGACCGATTTTAATTTTTAAGAAAAGTTAATTTTTTTAGTTTCTACATCATTATCATCTATTTATATTTATGATAGTCTCCTCTTTATCATTCAATAAGTTTTTTTTATCTTGCAAATTGTTATGCAATTGGAAATTGCTATCATTGATTCTAGGTTTTATATATTCACTTAAAGACTACATATATAGTAAGAATCTTTCGCTATATGGGGGACCTTTAGAAGGTTGGACATATATCTTTGATCTCTATTAGTCTGGTATTGGTAGACATACAATTATATTTGATATTCTAAATGAGTTCAAATTGTAGTTAATCTTGCTACTATTTCTGTTTTCATCTTAATTTATTAGGGATTCTTTGTTCAGTCAGTGTCTTGCCATCATGCATTTTGACAAAAAGAGGGGGAAAAACCAGTTAAGTTTTCAGTGTAGCAACTATAACTTCTAAATATTCCCCTTTTATTCCAAATTACTAGATACGATTTTGGTGGAAGCTGTGTATGGTTTTCAGTGGACTAACGGAGAGCGAACTCATGTTTGTTGAAGAATGATTGCAAGCATTCACCCTCCAAGAGACAAAATCATTAGCAGGAACTGTAACTTTGTCCATAGCTTGTTCAGACCTATACAACACCAAAGAAACCTTGAGAAACACCTTTTTTTTGTTTTCACGAAACTCATCATGATCCTATCCCTAATAGAGGCTCAGTTTTTTTTTTTGGGGATTTTCAAACCCTTTTCTTCTGCATTTTTATTTAAATATCTCAACTTCTTTTTACGGAAACGTCTGATCATATATATTTGCAGGAGATGGACTCTATGGAATCCTGTGTTCCTCCTGGATTTCGATTCCATCCTACTGACGAAGAGCTCGTCGGATACTACCTCAGGAAAAAGGTGGCTTCTCAAAAAATAGATCTCGATGTCATTAGAGACATTGATCTTTATAGAATTGAGCCATGGGATCTCCAAGGTTAGCCCTATGAACAACAATGAAATACTAATATATTACAATTAAGGTTTGGAATGCAGTTGTGTTTACAGAAGTAGTCTATTGCATTTTCCTTTTTCTGGCAAAGAATATAGATCTAATGCTTTGACATCATGTCAAGATTGGAAGATCCTCTCTATATTATTAAACAGGGGCAATACCATGTATACATATACAAAATGTAGGCTATCTTTCGTTAGGTGTAAAAGAAAAAGAAGAGAAAATATAATAGACTAGTGCTGTAAATACAGTAGACTATAGTTGATACAAGGGTTAATTGTGGAAACACCTCTGAGTTAACTTTTTGACTATTTTACCCTCAGAGAAAGAAAATTTACTTTTGAATAGATAACCTCTTGAGGAAAAAATAGTGAGAAAAAAAAAATCACACAAGGGGTCTATCCACAGTCTATCATAACAATAGAACTAAAGGGGTCTATTCGCATTTAACCATAACTACAACTGTAGTCCAATAGTTAATTCTAAAATTATTCTACATTTAGTTAGATTTTGATGTACAATTTTGTCATTTGTGTGTGAAGAGAGGTGTAGGATAGGGTATGAAGAGCAAACAGAGTGGTACTTCTTCAGCCACAAAGATAAAAAGTATCCGACTGGCACAAGGACAAATAGGGCGACGCTGGCGGGGTTTTGGAAGGCGACAGGAAGGGATAAGGCGGTTCATGATAAGAACAAGCTCATAGGGATGAGGAAGACCCTTGTATTCTACAAAGGAAGAGCTCCTAATGGACAGAAGACTGATTGGATCATGCATGAGTATAGACTCGAGTCTGAAGAGGATGCACCACCACAGGTACGAACCAAACTTTTCTTCTCTTTTTTTTATTAGAATCTAAAACTATAACTCGTAGTCCTCACTGTAACTTCAAAGTTTTGGTTGGTGGCGAAGTTCTTTAACATGATATCAGAGTAATCTAGGTTCAAAATCTTACTAGCTATGAATTTCAAATGCATGTAAAACAAACCACTCGGTGAGTTTAGGTTTCAGAATATGAAATGACGCTCTATGGAGATATGTTCAAACACAAAACTTCAAACTTTAACCATCACTACAACTTCAAAGTTTTGGTGTAATAGTATGGTCCTTCTACATTTTCTCACACACACGCATACACCATGCACGTGCGAAAACAACATTAATGGCATTGTTGAGTGCACACTTTACCACTTTTTAATCAAGGGTCTTTAACAGTGAATTTTGTGGTTTCAAACGCATAAGACTTTTACAGTACTTTTATAGTAAGGCTCTTCTAGTTTGAACAGAAGAGAATTAAAGTAGGAGCAAAGGTAGAGAGCATACTTTTGGTTAGTTATAAGAGCTATGGAATGAGTAATATAACGATCAATGAACCTTTTCAAAAAGGAAACTAAGCAACAAGACGGAAGTGGATTTATTTGAGTATAAACACAAAGATGGTGTTTAGGTTCCCCACAGTTGTCTTCTCTTTTCATTCTTCTTGAAAAAGTTCCATATATTGGAGCATGCACCGTCTTTTTAATAAAGGTATGCATCTTTTTTGTTTGAGATAACGACCCTTTTAGTCCAAAGTTTGAGTCTTGCGTATACCCTTTCTTATGAGGTATAAGTTCTAGTAGTGAGTCCTCATTCTGCACCTTTTGTTATCCTACTACTTTTCTCAATACAATTTTAAAAAAAGTTCCCTGTAGAATTGTTAGGTTAACAATCACCATATCTCTGATCAATTTTAATTATCATCAGACTCCTTGTGAGCTCAAAACTGAAGAGGATGACCAAAAAAAATGAAAAATAAAAAAATAAAAAATAATAAAAAATAAAAAATCAAGAATTTTTTTCCGGGTAAAATTCTTTCCGAAACTAGGGGTCAGGACTTAAACTGGGTTTATGTTACTAAACCAGTTTAAGTTAGGATTTGTCTAAAATCGGAAGTCATATAAAATACTTGTACTATCTTCCTTTGTCATATTTTACTTGATTGCATAATTCCCTTGCAGGAAGAAGGATGGGTGGTATGCCGAGCATTCAAGAAAAAAGCAACCTCCCAACCTAAACCCCTAATAGTCGACCCTTGGGACTCCCCAACCTACATCTTCAACCAGTCCAGTCAACGATTCAACTGCAGTTACATGCAACAACAATTTCATCAACCCCATAACAACCTCTTCCTCAAACAAGAGAATGAGCTCCCGCAGCTTGAGAGCCCTTCACTTCTTCTGGAAGAAGATCGAGAACAAGTGAGAGTGACTGATTGGAGAGCGCTTGACAAATTTGTTGCATCACAGTTGAGCCATGAGGGAAGTCATGAGATCGAACGGGTCGCAGGTTTTGGTGCCGATAGTGAATCCGATATCGCTGCCATGTTGAGCTCGGATGGGATATGTGTATTTGAGAACTGAAGGTTATGGAGAGTATTGTATGGGCTAATGAGTGAAGTTCTAGGGTTTGAGTATAGCTTATAGTAGATATATGTGGTGGTGTTTTCGGAATTGGTTGTGATTG